AGATTAATTATTTTCATCTTCGTTAAAATTAATCTCACAATAAATCCTCTGCATCTGTTTGTAATCACACGCATTACTAAACGAATGTATTGCAAGGTCGTAAACCAGTGGATCGTCGCTGCGCCGCACTACAATTATGATATATTCCTCCTGTTTCCTGCATCTTGAAATTAATTTTCTCTTGCAATCTTATCGTTCCGTATCATAATGCGTATGAGTCGTATCAAACATTGATATTACTGTCACTTGGGCAGTGTTTGTTTCTTATGAAAACAAGATCAACGAGAGAAAATTTTTTTTCTCTTTGTTGGTATATCGATAATGATATCTTATATGAAATTTTATATATGTATAACGTGTGTGCGCGTGCGTGTTGTATATGGTATATTATAAATATGTTGTAGCATCTTTAAATGATGCGGTTTATTTGGCGAAGACACCCAGTTAGGCACAGAATAAATGAAACACAGTCTAAGACGGACACCATGGAGAATGTATAAGGAGATCGAACTAGGTCTGGATCACGTCACCGAACATGGGCCGACATTTTTGCCAGCCAGTGAATCAAAATTTTGCCACTTGTAGCGCTGGCGTCACCTTACGCGATTAAGGATTCGCCCATGAGTTTACCGATCTTGATCTCGTAGATACAGCGTATAACTATTGTTATCTGGGGGTCAATTTCTGAAACTTACGAAAATTACAAAAGTGAGTGAATATTTATAATTTCAATCTGTGAATTCGCTCACTTTTGTAATCTTCACAAGTTTCAGAGATACACAATCCATCTCCTCATCTTATTTACAGATCGGACGTATATTATATAACCACGAAAGCTTCATGCATATGACAACCATGTGTCGTGTACGAATGCGAATGGAGTTAGTTGATGGCAGCGCTCCCAGTAATCTCTTTTCAAAACGTCTGGCTAACACAAACGTCGGCCCACTCTGATTACGGGCAGTTCGGTCTCCTTATACATTCTCCATGACGGACACGATGGTGTTTGTAGTTGGACACAGTACCAGTTACAAAATTCGACCACCTGAGACGCAGCACGGTCACCGTCGCGGGGGGGTGGCTTTACTCTTTCCCCGCACTCTGTCACGAAACGGGCTGAAACGAATTCGTACGTTTCCATTTCTTGTTGTGTCCGATTACAACCACTGTGTGTTCATCTTCCACTGTGTCCGTTTCTTTCTATGTCCGATTCATGCAACCTGATGTATCCGATTTATTTTATAACGCAACTGGGTCTCGCTCTGTTATTTTAGTCTTTTCTCCAAACACTCTTATTAATTTAAAATATACTCTTAATTAATAAAGTGTTTTTGACTATTATGGCACGTAAACGACCCATTATAGGTCACGTTTAATATTTTACTACAAAGAATCTATCGACGGAAACTTTATGAGTATTGTTAATTATCGCTATTGTGTAATTACACCGTGTAGAATTGCAAATTAAACATGATTGCCTTCTACCATACTTTTAATTGTATGTATTTAACGCCATATTGCATTAATTGCGATACAGCTGCATACAAAAGAAATAAGTTTTTCTTTGTCTGGATAATTGAACAACTTAAATGACAATACATTGTTAATTTACTGCTAATGTATTCTGTACGGTGTAAATCTAATAATAATAAACAGTATTTCTTAGAACGCCACACGGTTTAATTTACAATTTCAATTGTGTTCTAAAACAAAGGCGAAAAACTGTACATTGCGAGATCCTCATCTTCGAACTTGCGCGACTGCTTAACAATCTTAATATTGTCTTATTTTAATATGGCTTGAAAGAATAACACTAAAACGCTATTTGATATGTTCGATTTAAGATTCGTAAAAGTCTTGTAGAATGTGACATAAACGTAATCTCGATGAAATAGATTTATAATTGCTTCTAATACGATAGAAATATTGCTTTGCATTCATCGATAATTATCGGATCAGATTGTTACAAGATCGACTTATCTTACCCTTTGATCTATCTTATCCTATCCTCGATGTAATACACACGCATACACAAAACACTCGCGCGCGCACACGCAAACACATACACACACGCACGCACACACACACACACACACACACACACACACACACACACACACACACCACACACACACACACACACACACACACACACACACGCATACGCACACACGCGCGCGCGCGCACGCACACTCACACACATTATTATCGTCATCGCTCGACTTACGCGGTACTCTTTTTTATGCAATTCCAGTTTTAGTGGATAAAAGATATATGTATGTCTTTACACAGAGTTACGCTAATAATAAAGCTGAAGTAACAATGCCAATATTTCTAGTGATAAGTAAAGACAATTGAAAAAGAGCTGTCTAGTTTAAAGTACAGCACTGACAGCAACGATAAAATGTTTAATTTGTTTTTTAAATATTTATTATTGTTTTTGTGCAATTGTGTTTAATTAATATTTTACCATGTCAGCGGACTTTTCTTTGTTTTGTCAACATTTTTCTACTAGCGATCTCTGTTTACGCAATTCTTACCTGCGTAAAAAAATTATGAAACAAATACCTCGCGTAAATCGAGAGACGCGCGACTGCAGACGTGTTGTATATTATACAGGATGGGGGTTAGCTGGCGGGCCCTTTTACCAAGAGAGATGGATTACCGACTGCAACTTTAGTTCACTGAACGGCACAAGAGGGCAGCTGCTTAGATCTCAGGGATGTTGCAGGCAAGTCGAAAACTTGTTCCACTTACAGACATCACGCGGAGAAAAATAATTTGCTAACACAATATATCTTATGTAAACTTAAGTAAATTTTGTCTGTTATTTTATGATAATGTTATTTTCTCTTCTATGGACAACTATGTGTTAAGAACACTAATTTTATTGAAAAATTATTGTGCGAAATATTTAGCTAAAGAAATAAAATAATTTCTGTTCTATTAAACGTTCTGTTCTAATGGTGAATAATTTTAATAATGTATAATGAAGAAATTTTCGTATCGTCATCACGTTAATATCAAATATGCAGTATTCAAGTAGCAGCAACAGTTTCGCTGCAATAGCAAATTTTTTTTTTCGTGCGTATTATTGAAAGTCTATAATTATAAAATAATGTGTGGTGTAAAAATAATAAACAAAAAGTAAACATTCTTTATTTTTATGTTTACTTTTTGTTTATTATTTTTACACCACACATTATTTTATAATTATAGACTTTCAATAATACGCACGAAAAAAAATAATTTTGCTATTGCAGCGAAACTGTTGCTGCTACTTGAATACTGCATATTTGATATTAACGTGATGACGATACGAAAATTTTTTCATTATACATTATTAAAATTATTCACCATTACAGCAGAACGTTTAATAGAACAGAAATTATTTTATTTCTATAGCTAAATATTTCGCACAATAATTTTTCAACAAAATTAGTGTTCTTAACACATAGGGCGGAATTCATAGTCCAAGCTTGAGTTTCAAGACGATCTTAAGCCCGTTCTCAAGACCAAAATCGATTCATAGTTCTTGCTTAAGATCGATTCTCAAGTTGAAACTTGAAGTCGGTCTCAAGGTAGAACTG